CCACAATTCCAATCCAGGTCTCATGATGTTAGTTAGCATTTACCCAGTTTTCTACGTGCACGCTCTGTCGGGGGCGTGGCTGACACTGGGACTTGCTTCCAATTAATTTCAATTAGCCCCAGTCCGAAATCGTCCTGTAAGGCAATATCCAAATAGGCTCAACTGAAGACAGATTACTTACAGAAAGACACACAGTGCAGTCCTAAGTGTAAGTTTCATACATGTAAGGTATTTTCTCCCAAGTCTACCTTTCTAAAAGTCTATTTGTCTTTGTAACCACAGAACCTCCCAACGCCACCCAGGCAGGGGCCTCCTTGTACAGATTCCCAAGAGCTGTCACCCCCTTCAGCTGCCCACATGATGCTCCTTGAGGACTTGGCATGGTCATGAGGTCATGCTGCCAAGCTTGTGCTTATCCTGAGTTTCAGGAGTGTGGGACAGACTCTGCCAGAATCCTGCTCTGGCATTCCAGGTAACTGACCACAAGCTAAGGCCAATTCTGCTATTTATAGGGAGTGACAAAAATAGCCTCATCCCTTTGAAAGGTGTGCCTCTGTCCTATGCTCACTGGCCTCCTACCATCTGAAAGATGCTTCTCTCCAGACCTCAGATGGCAGCAAACCTTCTGACACAGCCCCAGAAGCACCAGAGCCTGGGGAGATACCAATGCAGGGCTCGGCACAGGGGTCAAGGTAGAACCTAGTTATGGACTCAAGGAAGGAGGCAGGAGCTTAGGAAGAGGGGAATGAGGTAAGACTGAATCCAGCTGTTGGAGTTGGGTACAAAGTCAGGGTAGGAACATGAGTGTGGCTGGTCTGATCCTGAGCCATGAATACACCAGAGACCCATTGGTCCCCAACCCAGGGCTGGGACTTAGTCCAGGTGTGAAGGGTTAATGGACCCAGCTGAAAGGGCTGGAGTGACCGGTTGAGTGCAGGCAGACCACATTCCTTTCTAGCTGCATGCAGGTGAGCGAGCAGCTTACTTCATCTCTCTGAGCTGTTTCCTTATCCAAAGCGGTGGGCCTAGAGAAGCCACTGCTGTGCTAGGTGTGTGCATCAGAATCACCTGGAGCATGTCAGAATCAGGATGCCGCGCCCCTCCTTGCAGACTGAATCAGGGGGTCTGGGAGGATGCTGGGGATCTGAATGTTTCCCAGGTTCCCTAGGAGATTCAGATCCACACCAGTATTGGAGAGCCCCTGTACCAGATGAACACAAGGGGTCTTCCCTAATATCCCTGTGTTCTAAAGTTTGCCCAGTCGGCGATAAGAAAGCACAGATGGTAGGCGTTTGCCTCACACAGTGATCAGGCAGCATCAGAATCAGACACCTTATCAGTTGCTTGCTGCACCCCAAGAAATCACCAATCGGGAGCTTACCCAAAGCCAGTTTTTCACATGTGAGTTCACCCCCTTCTACTTTCTCTTCCAGGCAACCCCTCCCTCTCCCGTGGCTTAATTATCGTCTCTCCCAGAGGTCACAAACTGGGGGCCAGAAAGGCAAACCCGGGCTAGCCACCCATGAGTTTTATTTAGTCTGTCCAGTATTTTTTTTAAGGCCTGAATCGGTGTGGGGTCAGACTGGGTATTTACTTTCTGGCTCACCACGGGCCCACCACGCCCGAGTGTGTTACATCTATCCGGCGTCAATGCTTTACATTCCCTGCCTAGACCCCGATTTTAGATTTAATGCGGCGTCTCAGCTTCTGTCTCCAGCCCCAACCTCTTTCTGAGCATCAGGCCCATATAGCCACGTGCCTCTGGGAGACAGAATCCAGCTGTGTACTTAACAGAAGAGGTGGCCCCTAGTGCAGGGCAGGGTAAACATGAGTGATGTTATTATCCTGGCTGTGCACCTCCTCTCGGGGTCTTGTGGGCACCTCAGCTCCACCTACAGTATTCATAACAGAGCCCAGCACTTTTCCTCACCTTCACCCCCAGCCTCTCCACGTTCCCTCTTTCCACAAATGAAATCACCAGAAAGTGCCTAAGGCTGGGAGCCATCCTGGGCCCTTTCGTCTCCCTCGATGGGACTTGTCATCAGACCTTGTACAAAATCTCTTTTGGTTCCATTCTGTTTTCTCCATCTCACGGCCACCATCCTGGCCCACGCCACCATTGTCTGCCAGGGCCGTGGTAGTTGCCGGATATTCTCCTGCAGACATTATTGTTTCAGTCTAACGCATTGCTCAGTTCAAAGACACACTGCTCATTAAACAAACTGGATTTTGCCTCTGCCCTGAATGCAGCCCATTTATTGGCTTCTAACCTGTTGGCCCAGGTTAGATTCCCTTGCAAGATCCTCCCCAGGCGGGCCCCTGCCTCCTCCCCAGCCTCCTCTGGCCGTCTGTGTTCTAGCCGTCTGCGACTTGTGTTATCTCTGGGATGTGCCTACTTCTGTCTCTGGCCTCTGGGCCCTCACATATGCCTTTCCTCCTCCTGGAGGACTCTTGCCCTTACTAGTCACTTGAATAGTTGCTACATTTTTCTTCATGTCCCACTTAGCTGTCACTTCCTCAGAAAGTCTTCCCTGATCCTCGAGATCAAGTCAGGCCCCCTGCTCTAAGCTCGCAGAGCCCCTCGCCTTCCCTGGCATCACACTCACTACACAGCAGGTCCCACAAGGGCAGGAATAGTCACGGTCTGGCTCGTTCCCTGCTCTCTCTTCCAGGCCTAGCACATGCTGGGAACAGAGTAGTGCACAGAGTTTGCTGCGGAAAGGGAGAGAAAAAGAAGAAGGAAAGCATGGAAGGGGGAACCAGAAAGGAACACAAGTAGCACCTCCTTCTTGCCTAAGGGAGGACAAGAGCTGACCACTCCCACCCCCAACCCCAGTCTCCTAAAGTTGAACACTTATGAGAGCAGGAATTCTCTTATTCGGGGCTGTGTCCTCAGTATCTAACAAAGAGTAGGTGTGCCGTGGAGGTCATTATAGACTATAGCCCATAGCAGAAACAGTCAGAGAACTACTATTTTTTTTTGGTAACAAGCCTTGAGCAATGACTTGACTTTTTAGAGTATGTACATGTATATAAAGCCTGATAAAAATTAAAATTGAAAAAAAAGAAGAAACAATAGATACATCTCACACCAAGTACCCTGTTGTTACCACCAGTGAAATCAGATTGGATTATGAACTTCCCAACAGGAGGTCTGTGGTCCAAACATGATAAACCTAACTTGCAACACTTAAAGAAAATGTAAATCTTAAAGTCATAGAAAGACTTAAAATGCAGTTCATCCACTAGACTAAAATGGAGATTTTGGCTTCGCCATCTAGTAAGCCGGGATGGAAGAGAAAGTGTGAACACTGGCCTTCAAGAGCATGATGTTTGGGCCCGAGCGACTGATTACTGCGCACAGGCCTTGGGGAGGTTTATTCAGCCTCTCTACTTGACTTTCTTTCCTGTAAAATGGGGACAATGGGACCTGCCTTGCAGGGTTGTTTGGAAGACGGAATAGAAAATGTAAAGCACAGAGCTCAGCCCTGGCGACCAGGTGCCCACAGAGGACATTGCTTCAAAGTGCCTGTGCATTTCAGTTATTTAAAGGTTTGGTGGCTGGGCTCGGAGATACAGGGAGCTCATGAAATACTGCTCTCCCCGCGGGAAGAGGCATTATTTCTTTACTGTCAGTGTCCTAAAAGAAGGAGAAAACCAGTGGCAGAGAAATAGGAAAGCAATAGCAACAAAGAAGCATGGGAATGAAAGCGCAAGAATTAGATTCTCACTGGATCTTGGAGTCACGCTGGAGGGCAAGGCTTTTCTTTCCATGTTTCTTTTCTCCCTCCCTGGTATTCCTGGGGAAGCCTCCGCAGCGAGGGTAGCCAGGGGTGGGATCCTAATGGGCAGGAGGAGTTTTGCTTTTCCAGGCTGCTCATCACTCCAGGGCTTTTTTAAAAAATAAAATTCATATTCAGACATCTTTTAAAATAACATTTTTTTTCCTATTTCAAAGGCAAATCATGTTCATTCTGGAAAATTCATACAAGGAAAAAGTTAACCAGAAACTCCACTGCTAGATGACTACTGAAAACATTCTGGAGTCTATCCTTTCTTTTTCTAGGCAATAAGTACATCAACCAATAGGTCTTATACGACAAATGAGATCAAATGGTACATACTGTTCTATAATCTGATCTTTCTCACTGAACAGCTTTCCATGTCAGCAAATGAACGTTATCTAATGTCACCATGGGCAACATCAACAGGTGCCCAGGGTGGCTGGTACTCACCGTGCCCTCCCTGGGTGGAGGCTGGTAGCCTGTTTCCGTGAACAGTGATTCAGTGAAGGACTTTGCAGTCAAGCCTTTATACAACCCCCCTGATTGTTCCCTTACAGTGAATTCTCACATTCAGTGTTAATTTTCTCAAGAAAAGAAGACAATAAGACAGTGCGGTGAAAATGTTTAGGTCGTAAGTGGGCCTCTTCAGTGGTAGTTGGGGGAGGAGACTATAATTCAGCATTATGCTTTTATTTCTGATCCTGTTCAACCTCCAAATGTATCTCAAGTGCAACCTCATTTCTAGTCATCCAACTTAAAAAATAAACAAGACACAGCCACTGCCCTTTAAAGAGATTAATAGAGATGAGAGACACGGTAACCGTCTATGTAAGAAATGAGTTTTCGCTTTCACTTTAACACAAAAGTTCCTGGCTCTTCACAATAAGAAGCGAGGATAAGATGGAATGATAATGCTAGTAATAGCTCATGTTTAATGAGCACTTACTATGTCCAGGAACTGTTCATGTAGCACACGGTACTGTGTTAAATGACATGCACCACTGATTCTCACTGCTTGCCCACGGAGTAGGTATTACAGTTATGAACATTCTATTGTGTAAATTGAGGTCCAGGGAGGTGAACCAACTTGCCTGGGAAACAGCTAGCGAGTGGTGGCCCTTTGAGGCTAGAGCCCTTTACTCTGGAACACACATCCTTGGGCTGGGAGAGAGGGTCATAGGGCCCTGGAATAAGCATTGTGATTCAACCTTCTAGATACTGCGGCCTGAGAACCGGCTTGCTGACGTCCCCCATGGTGGGGTTCATGGTGACAAATCAGTGTACCTTCCATACACCCATCAGCTTTCCTCAGGTCCCAGTGGCTGCTGTGGCCGTGGAGAAAGTGGGTCACTCCAGCGTACATTACCGCCTGGCTCTGTTCCCACCTAATGCCACCAAGGAGCTGCCTTCTGTAAATCACTGGGATCTCAGTGATGGCTTTTTCTTTGGCCACCCCAAGCTGGCCCATTTTGACTCTTCAGCCTGTACCACCGGGTCTTCAGTCCATGTCTTTGTGAATCCAGCCACCGGCAAGCCAACGGGCCTTCCAGAAGACTTCAGGAAGGGCCTTCGGAGGCTAATGAGCCCAGCTTCCGTGTGAGTCATCTGTATGTGGCCTTTCACCTGTCAGAAAATAAAATTCAGATGATTTTCTAAATGATTTCTTTAGATTCTGTGGCATATCTTTTAACTCTTAAAATGACTGTCAGCTCCTTAAAAGCTTTTAGGACAGAGTCCTCTGGCTCCACGGTTGAGTTAGGCCAGCGGCAGAGAGCTTTATACCCAGCGTCTCCCTGAGCCCTCTCCACCACCTGGCAGCGCAGGTCCTGCTCTTTCTGCCTTTTTCAGAAGAGGAAAAGGAGGTTTGCAGCGTAGAAGCAGTCGGTCTGGAGTCATCCAGCTGGCGAGTCCGTCTGACTCTCAGTCACCCGGGGGTGCTCTCTACATGCACCTTTATGGCTACTGTCTTAGCAGCCCGGCCACACACTTCCCTGGTTTGGGATCACCGATCTGATAGGACTCAGTAAATCTCCTCAGCTTCTTACAGGTAATAACCATGTGACTTCTTTTTTTTTTATTTAAGATATGAACTTTAAAACAAAACACCTTTCTTTCATGTCTTTAAAACAATAAACAAGCCTCTGACAGTTTTCTGATCCACAGCCTCGCTCATTCACTCCTGCCATGGGTGGAGGCCTAAAAGTAAGCACGAATAAATCCACTGTCTGCTGCTGAACCATGTGAGGACCCTGCTTTGGCCGACTAATGAAAATGGTTACCGTTTGCTGACCGCTGGCTTCACGAAGTGCTTTATGGGCATTTCCTTGATCAGTCCCTATTCCTCTTCTCGAAGGTAGGGATTACTGTCGCCATTTTTCAGATGAGATGGTTGAGGCTTTAAAGTGAACAGCTGGAGTAGGGGAAGGAGGTCTGGTCTAACCTCTGCCTCAGTGCGGAGGAAAGGGAAAACCACAAGCTGACTCTTTCTGAGCCTCAGTTTCCTCCTTTGAAAACAAGACCCTGAGGGACCTTTTTCAGCCGGGTCCCTGGATATTTTTTTTGAAAGTGCAGAGGCTTTTGATCTGCTCTTGAATTGAGTTCTGAATCGCTGCCACACACACAGCTTTGGAATGCTGTCACCACGATAAAAACAGTGCTGAGTGCGAGTCCTTTGTCATTTCATCTGGTCAGTTTCCTCCAGTAGTAGATCCGTCTTGAGCTTTTGAGAACACGTCACACAAGAAGGAAAGACTATGAGTAGCAGCCTGGTGTCTGTAGGCCTGGCCTGACTGCTGCCATGGGACCTGCTCAGAAAGGAAAAACTCCTTTTCTGTGTGTGTCACTTTTCAGTCCTTGTGGTTCTTGCCATGTGCATTATCTCATGCATCTTTGTGACTACTCTGAGAGCTGGGTATTATTATTATTATTATTATTATTATTATTATCATCCACGTCAGAACAGGCCTTTCAGGAGGAAGTTGACCTACTGAGATCACAGAACTTCTGTGTAGCAGAGCTAGGACTCAATCCAGCCAGACCTTTGGACCCGTCTTTCCATGCCACCAATTCTGCATCTTACCCCCATGGTCCTGAATTTTCAAATTACACCATGCATGGCCACCAGTTTTTAAAATGGTAGGAATATTAGCAGTGGATTCACCAAGAGGCTCTTTAACTGGCAGCAACATAGTGGGGTGATTAAGAGGGTGGGGTCCCCTATCAGAGACGCCTGGATTTGTATCCTGGCCCTGCCATTTCTAACAGAACACTCTTTGACATGGGGCACTGTCAGGAGTGACCACATTGGCTTGCCTGCGTTTGACTCTCACACTGCTGAGCCCCCACACCACGGCTGCCGTGGACAATTGGCCGAGAGTGGACTCTTTAGACCACTGAGGTGGTTGGGTTGTTCGTTCCCACAGCACAGCCCAGCTTATCCCTCTTTCCTACGAGTACCAGCCTCACAGGTTGTCGTGAGGGTTCCAGGAGAAATGTGTGTAAGAACTTGGCTTAGTGGCCAGTACGTGGCTCTTAGTGTGAGAGAAAAGAAATGCTATGTGCTCTCACTACACAAGCATCTCCAAGATAGGAAAGTAACCAAGCCTTACATTCATGTTCTCTCCGTGCCTCAGTGGTGAGTTGCACACTATTTTCTATTTTATTTTATTTTTTTAAAGATTTATTTATTTACTTGAGGGAGAGAGAGAGCATGAGTAGGGGAAGAGGCAGAGGAAGAGGGAGAGAGAGAATCCTCAAGCAGACGCCCCACTGAGCACAGAGCCCCAGGCAGGGCTCGATCCCACGACCCGGAGATCATGACCCGAGCCAAAGTCAAGAGTCTGACGACGCTTAACCGACTGAGCCACGCAGGCACCCATATTTTCTATTTTATATGAGAAAAATGACAGAGGTACTGAAAACACACGGGATGGTGGGATGCCTCATACCTAGGGTGCGTTGAGCCAGCCTCGGACTCTGGAACTGACCTGAATTGAGAGTGCAGATGGATTCTGAGCAGAGAGCTCCAAGTTCATGTAAATCGCAGGAGTTTAAGTACTGATGACGCAGTCTTTCCACTGCCCAAGTGTTCAATACTTCAGCGTGAGCCAAAGCAGTGAACATTACAGTGCTCATTGGTTTTTAGTGGGAAATTCTAGCATTATAAACTTGTTTTAAGACTCCAGAGAGAGCCAAATCCTAGTTGCATATACTTGGGAGGAAGCCAGATTTTATTACAAAAGTGCAGAATCAATCTAGAAAGACTTTTAAAAACATCCAGTCAGCCATCCACCACTTACCTCCGCAAGATGTTTTTGCTGGGCGGCTAACAAGTAGCCATGTAGCTACTGTTTGCTGGGCACTTCTGAGCAGACAGGGTTCATGCCTTTGCTAACAAGAAACAACTATAATAATCCACGCAGGTGAAGAAAACCTTCAGGTGTTGCTGATTTTCTAACTACATTTTTTTATTACACTCAAATTCATTCAAAAACCTATAGTAAGAGACAAGAGGTACGAAATGTGTGTTCATGTTTTGCTTGGACAGATTTTGGCTCCTAGCAATTAATGCTTTCGGTCACATTAAGCATATAAATAATGCTTTGTGACATTACAGTATTTCCCATTACAGATCAATTTTGTAGCATTTGTCCATAATCCGACTTGAAATGTTACCTAGAAACAAAATATGTTTTCCTTGAAACAGTCAGACCCTATTAGAAATCTAAGGCTTTACAAATCACCATGTTAACAGTTATGTCCCCTAGCTAAGGTTTTCTTTCTTTAAATAGTGTTAAATTCAGCCCCAGAAGCACTAGTCTCTGTGAGGGTTCTCTTCTTATGTACACTGATTTGAAAGGAGAAATTTAGTGCTCAAAATATATTTAACATCTTACAGTGCATAACTTAATAAATCAACCAGCATTCCCTTTTGGGGTAAAAATAATGTTAGCACCTTTTACAAGTGTTATGCTTCTAATTAGGTTACAAGATATTATTTTCTCATTTTTCAAAAGGCAGGTTTTCATTGCCAAAAAAAAGGTGTCAGCCTCTTTCTGGGTAAGGGGAGTTATTCTCATTCCCTGACCATATAATCATACACCATGGGTGAGCCAAGAAATAAAGGGAACAGGTATCAGCTCTGAAGGTTGGAGCAATAAAACTTAGTGCTACCCGGTGGAGATTTGGGGCCAGGAGCACCTGGGTTTGATTCCAGCCCTGCCATTTAATCACTGTGGAGTCCAGCAAATTACCTAACTTCCGATTCAGCAAATGTGAGCTATTTTTTAATTATTTACACACTTTTTTCCCCCTGAAGAACATTCTCTTTGATGAAAGCTAACAACCTCTCATCCATTCAGCAGGTAATTACGGAGTACCTATTGTAGACCAGGCTCTCCTGCTCTAGGTCCTGGGCAACAGCAGGAGATAAGACAGACCAGACCATTGCTCTCACGTTGCAGCTTGGGGAAGATGGACCGTGTACAAACAAGAACACATCAAATGGTGCAGTTGGCTGCAGGTGGCCCCCCAAAAGATAGGTCTACCTCCTAACCCCTGGAACCTGTGAATGTGACCTTACTTGGAAAAATAGTCCTTGCTGATTTAAGTAAGGATCTTGAGATGAGATCATCCTGGATTATCAAGGTGGGCCCTAAATCCAATGACAAGTGTCCTTATAAGTCACACAGAGGAGACAGAGAGAGAAAGGAAGAAAAGGCCATAAGATGGAGGCAGAGAGTAGAGTGATGAGCCACAGCCAACGAGCACCTGGGGCTGGCAGGATCTGGAAGCAGCAAGGAAGGATCCTTCCCTAGAGCCTCTGAGGGAGCGTGGCCCTGCCCACACCTTTATTTCAGACTCTGGCCTCGAGAACTGTGAAAGACTTAAGTTTCTGTTGTTGTAAGCCTCCCTCTTTGTGGTAATTTGTACATCAACCCTGGAAAACAATGGCTTAAATGGCAATGTGTACCAAGAAGAGAATAAAACGGGGAAATGAGACAAAATATAAACAGGGACTCAAATGGGACCACCATAAATGATGAGAGCGTGGGAGGCCCCATTGTGGAGGTACTGAGTTCCCCGAGGACGTGAGAGATGGGTGTTCTGAATCTGAGGGGCAGCAAGCTCAAAGGGCCCAACCTGGGAATGAACTTGGTGTGCTGGAGGACCAGGAAGTTAGTGGGGCCGGCCCTGGGAAGTGATGGGGTCAGTGGTAGGGAGATGCAGATGCAGGAAGGGACCAGACCCTGAAGGGCCTTGTAGGCCCTGAAACCCCTCTGAGAGAGACTTACAATGACTCGAAGATGCCCTTACTAGCAGAGAAAGAAGTTCTGCCTTTGTTACATAGGTAAATGTGAGTATATTCTAAACATTCTAGTAATCAGATTAAAAGCCCAGAGCCTTTATCATATAATCATGTAATCCCATCCCACTGTTAATTCTGTATGAACAAGAATGTCACAAAGAGTGCGTGTGAGGTCAAACACCACAGGACACAGTAGAAAATCCTCAGTGGGATCCTTTATTTTGTTCATTATTTATAAGGTGAAATTTCAGCCTGTAAGAGATGTTTCTCCCAGTTCAGCCAATGGCTTGTAACATCACCTTGTCCTAATTCCCTGATGCAGCAGTCCCCAGGGTCACAGGTTCCCCGGGACC